CCTCTCAAGAGCTTATTTATGTTGTATTGAGATACGTACATAATTATATCCTCATAGGCTTTCTTGCCTATGGGAAACGTGTTTGTTTAGGGAAGATGATTATAACATATCTCTCTTTTACATAGAAAGCCCAAACTAAATCTATACCCTATTACCATTCTGTGCCTTAATTCATGCTGAAGCAGGGATAATATGGACGATTTCTTTAGAAGATCAAAGAATCTTCCCAAATGTCTACCAGTGAGGGCCTTAAACACGTAACCAGGGTGGAAATGGTCTCCTGATCTTTTTTGCATTAATCATACATATAATGCAATTGGCGTACAGTTAGGAACTAAACAATATAAGCACTGGCTACTTTTGCTTAGTATCAAAGAGTGACAGACATTGGTCTGTCTTCCTGTGTCTTCTTTCCCTAACTAAGAAAGGAATCAAAGTGGTGCTGGTCAGGGTCAGTTGTTCCTATCATTTTCAAGTACTGCTGCCTTCCAATAGCAGTCTTCCAGAGTCCCAGGAGGTAGAGGCCAGGGGAATAGCTATCTAGAAATCAAATGCATCATTTGACCTTACCCAACAAACCTCCTTTCATGTGGCATGGGGGAGATAGGTGAATTCTTCTAGCTTCCCTTTTCCACAAGTCTTCAAACCAAGTCCAAAAGGATGTCACCAAACTAGTGAATTCTGGGGCAGTCTTGGCTATTTCCAGAGTCTGACATGTCTGTGGCAACAGTTTGGGAACAATAGTTTGACATACAGGACTTAACTTCCCCTTTGTGCATTCTTAAGTACAGTCAAAATGACCTACTAAGTGTTCTCATTAAACAACATTCCATGTGACTCCTGTGTGCCTGTGAGTAGAATGTAGCTCTTTCTCACCTCTGTCTTCTAGACACTTCAACTTAGGTTTTGCCTGCTACATATGGTGTCTGCCTTTCCCTACCCCCCAGCTATTAGCATTTTCTCTCTCTTGAAATTATCTTGTGTTACTTTGTATAATATTTACTATTTACTTACTTGTGTATACTTTGTATTGTTCCAGTAGAATGTAAGCTCCTTGAGGGCAGGGGAATTATTTTAAAAAAATGCTCATTGAATGGAATTGTTAGGGTGGGAAGAAGAAAGAAAGGAATGACCTGAATGTTTTCCTTCTCAGATTTGACCATATCAAGCTGCTAATTTATTCTTCCAGGCTTTAGGAGTTTGAAAAGACAATAATATGGAGGCATGGGAAAGAATAGAAATAGAAATGAAACTTTAAAGTGGTTTTGATTCACTCAAAAGTATAGGATAAAACTTAGAATAATCATCTACTCATCGTTCCACATATACATAAAATTTAAAGAAAAAAGTAGTCTTGTAAAATGATTAGTATTACCTATTCTTATATTTTACTTATGATTCAGTACGATGATTTTAGAGGTAATGGACCTCAATTCCCTCATCTGTAAAGTGAGAGGCTTGGACTGCATGATTTCTAAGATTCTTTCTAGTTATTCTGTTCTGTGATTTTAGACATTCACTATTATGCATACATACACCTATATATATATATATATATATACACATATACATATATATACATATGCATGTATGTACATATATGAGTAATGTATGCACGTATATAAACAGACATAAATAGTTTACTTTGCAAACAGATATAAATATATAGTTAATATGCATACATTTATGTATATACTCATGTACGGTGAATATTACATAGAATAATATATGTAGTAAATAGTGAGTATATGTATAGAGGCTTGACATGTGATTTCATTAAAATAAGGCTCTTGGATGAGAAAATTCCCTTTACCAACAGGGGTTGGGACTATCTCTGCTGCTTATAGTCTTTGAAAGTTGCCTAGATCTGTTAGCAGTTAAGTGATTTGTTCAATTGCCTAGGGTTACCCAGCTAATATGTATCAAAACTCAGGTCTTTTCTAACTTAGAGACAACTCTTCATCTGCTACTCCATGATGCTATATGTGTACACATAAAGATATGCATGTATACATATATGTATATGGGACTACATGATACTCCACATGGTCACGTATATACCTGAGGATACACACACACATGTATGTATGCAATATGTATAGATTATGTATATTTGATATCTCTGATTTCACCAGTGTAAGGAACTCTCTATGAAAATTCCTCTACTGATACAAATTGGCAACTCATCTATAACATTTATCTTAGTGAGTTCTCTGGGACACTTAGAGGAGGTTGAATGAATTGCCCAAGATCACACAAATAGTAGATGTTATAAGGGAGCCTGAACCCAAGACTTTCTGCTTCCAAGCTAGCTTGGAATGTCTTGCCTCTCCTTCTTAAATAGTCACTGGACTTGGAGATTGTGCAACAGTAAGATCAAACTCTACTGCAGATAACTTTTCTCCTCATACCTCAAAGAACTTTTTTGCGCCATTCTTTTACTCGGGATACTTCCATGACCCACAAAGGTCTAATTTGTTTTGCTTAAGGGAAAGGAATTCAAACAATTAATGCAGAATTCTGAGAGTGCTATGTACCTTCAGGAGAGGACAAGTCTATGTCCCTGCATTTGAACTTTATTATTCTTCTCTGTATTTCTCAGTGTACATATTGCCCTTGGGACATAACATCTTTGTTGACAAAGTACAAATATGACTATCACAGAGTTGAAGAAAATCAATACTTAGAAAATAGAAATACTGGAAGCTGACTACTCCAATCAATTGAATTTGTGAAGTTTTGTTTTTTTTTCAATCATGACATTTACTGTTTTCATGTAGTTCTGGAGTGGAACTTTATTCAACTGAAGTGTTTATGCAGTACCTACTTTATGCAGAGCACTATTCCAGGCTTTGCATATATATGCAAAACCAAAATAAATCATGACTTTAAAGGGTTTACATTCTGTTAAATAAAAACAAAATATATCCAAATGAATCCAAAGTAACACAGTAGGGGGGACTTGGCTGGGGAAGGAAGTCCCCATGCAGCTTCTAGCCTGGAAGGGGACTCTAACATTGAGTATGGAAGACATGATAAGACTCATGGATGTGGTAAGCTTCATAGATTGGTTAGAAAGGAACCTAAAGATTATCTAAGCCAAACCCCTACTTTTATAGATGAGGAAACTGAGCCCCAGAGAGTATATCCATGACAGTTTAATATGCATTATCAACATTTTTCTTTATCACTTTCTTAATATTATAAAATCAACAAAATAATGAATCAAGCCCCTATTTATGGTGCTTGCTGATTCCTGAAGTGTAAATGCTCACATTGCAAATTTAACAATTAGCTTGCTGGTATCCAGCAGGAACTGGTGCTCTAGCAAGCCCTTGAATGTGATTCTTCTGACCAAGTCTAAGGCATTTTCTGTTGCTCTGATGCTGCCTTCGGAGACAAATGTTAGGTAATAGTGGAACGGGAAGATTGTTACTAAACGAAGGAGGAGGAATCACAGAATACCTCCAGACTTTCAATAGGTTGGTCAAGAAACATTTATCAAGTGTCAATTTTGGGCCAAACACTGTGCTAAGAGCAAAGGTACAAAGAAAAGCGAAAAAAAAAAATCAAACCAAACAAACCAAAACAAAGCACAGTCTTTGTTCTCATTGAGCATACATTCTAATGGATAAAAGAACATGGAAACATCTAGCACATACAAAAGGCAAGAGTACATAAGGGCAAACTGAAAGGAGAAGGCATTAAAGGGATAACATTTATAGAAGCAGCTGCTGGTGCAGGGGGTAGAATGTCGGGCTTGAAATTGGAAAGACTTGAGTTTAAATCCTGACTCACCCATTTACTAACCCAGTGAATCTGGACAGGTCAGTTAACACCTCTCAGTCTCAGCTACCTCACCCATAAAATGTGGATAATTATAGCTTCAACCTCACAGGGTTGTTGTGGGTATCAGATGAGAATAGAGTGCTTTACCAACCTTACATCTCTATGTTAAAGCGAGCTATTATTTCTGTTGGGCTTTAAAGGACACATACGAACTCAACAGATGAGAAGAGGGAGTAGGAAGATATTCCAGGCATAAGGAACACTATGAGCTAAAGCACAGAGGTGGAAAAACACAAGGTATATTTTTGGGAAAGAGTATTCCAACCAGGATAGAATGGAAAGGATGGTGTTGAAAGAAATAATATGAACTAAGTCTGGCAAGATAGGATGGTTCCAACTTGGAAATGTCCTTGGATGCCAGCCAAAGGTGTGTGAACTTTGTTTAGTTGGAAGTTGGGAGCCACTGAAGATCTTTGAGCAGACTGGGTTTGTGCACGAGGAAAATTAGTCTGGTAAGTGTTATGAAGGATGGCTTGGCACGGTGGGGAGAGTGTGGAGGCGAATTAAGAAAAAAAATTGATTTCATGCTCTTTTTTCATGCTATTTTTGTTAAGTGGTGAAATACTTCAGGGAATCCAGATGCTCCTATGTTGCTATCTGCTATTTAGATGCAGAGGACAGATAATATATCTCATTGACTTCTTTTTAACCCATCACTGCATATTATTTGTTTCTTTGTTCAAGCACAAACCAATCCTTGCCTATGTTTTCTTGTCTCTCCTACCCCTAATTGCTCACTTTGAATGTTACCAACTTATTTTTGTGATGAGATGCCCGGTAGTTGCCAAAATAATATTCTTTTTCTCCCCAATCCTATATAGCATATCTATTCATTTAAGGCATTGCTGTATAAAAGAACTATGTACAAAGATGAGGAAGGCATAGTTTTGCTACTAATGACTCATTTTTTAGCAGTTGGAGACTTCATAGTAGGCCATTGTCTGTCTGTCTGTCTGTCTGTCTCTCTCTCTATCTTTATATATATTTATGTCTATATATGTGCCTCTCTCCAAAACTATAATTGAGAGCTGACAAAATGCTAGCTAGCAGGGAGGGCAGTATTCCACTTACCTCTTTTTAGATTTTTTTGGTTGTTTTTGTGAACGGCTTCCTTCCCACCTCAGTCATTGGTTTGCTCACTGCCTTATGTGATGGTTCCAAAGCAGTGGCTTCTGAGTGAAAACGGGAACAATGACTTCCAAGTGCACCAGGGCAGCCTAGCAGGGAGCACAAAGACCAAAGCCCAGGTAAAAGGCAGACTTTCCTAAATGTTTTACATTGCACTGTGTGACCATCTCTTGTTGCTGTCAGGTTGCTGTGGGACTGATGCAAGAGCAGGTTAATTTGACTGGGTACCAAAAGGAAATGATAGCTGGCATCCTGAGCAAGAGTGAGCTGGTAAATATAGACCATTTGTTAACTGGGGGAAATCAAAGGATCTGTCCTCAGGGGTGCTCTTCATGGGGGGTAGAGTTACTGATGCTACAGCCTGTAATGTCTTCATTTAAGGGGAGGGTAAGTTCCTGTCTGAAAGTGTTTGGTGTCATGGAGGAGGTGACATTTAGCTGCTTTGTGTCATGTCAGGAAGGAAGAGGAATTTTAGGGTGAGAAATGAAAGTGAGCCTTGCAAAAAAGGATAAAGCAGAGCTGAGAAGCATTTCAATGGAATGTCAGGGGGAAAAAACTTTTCGGATGATTTATAAGTCTGTCCAGTTGTTTTCTCAGGGAAAGGTGCAGGGTCTGACCTTGTAAGACTTTCAAACCAAATCAAAGAAAACCTAAGGAAATATACTATAGGCTCTACTTGTAGAAAGAGAGAGGATATCGTCTAATAGGGTTTTCTAGTTCTCATTTTGACACATAAAGTGGTTCAAACACAGGCAGGGAGCGGGAGGTTCAGGCAGCTTTGACAACTGGAAGTGTTAATTGGCATTTAACAAATGTAAAGCTATTAAAGTGCGGCTATTTCTGCTTTGTGGAAAAAATAATTTGCCATCACCATAGCAATTCATCTCTCTGGGCCCATGGAACTTGGCTGCTTTGTGTAAAAGAACAGCAAATATCTTTTCTTTCCCCAATAAGAGGCTTGAAAACCTAGTTGTTAACATGTGACCCTCTCATTGGAATTCCATACAGTGTCCAGAGAAGTTTCAAATCCCACTCAGATGGAAATTATGTGCAAATATACATCTCATACTTTGGAAGAGAAGAGATTGCAAGAGAGAAAGGATGAAAAAGAATATAGCATGCTGGGATGGCAGTGGTGTTTTAAAAGTCACAAGAAGTATTTACTTCTATTTTAATTTCTTTTCCTGCTGTGTTTATGCATCTATAGAGGAGACCTTCTTTCTGATGAGATTTTGCTTTCTCTGACAGTGACCCAAGAAGAGAATTTTTCAGTTCTGTAAATTTTCTCATCACTACTATTTTGAATAATAGTTTGTTTGGGATTTTTTAATCTGAATTTGTGCTGTGGTGTGGCACAGTGAATAGAGTGCTGGGCCTGAAGTCAGGAAGACTCCTTTTCCTGAATTCAAATCTGGCCTTGGATACTATCTGTATGATCCCGGCAAGTCATTTAACCCTGTTTGCCTCAGTTTCCTCATCAGTACAATGAGCTGGAGAAGGAAATGGCAAACCACTCCGTTATCTTTGCCAAGGAAACCTCAAATGGGGTCACAAGAAGGCACTTTTTGAGGAGTTGCCACTCTCCATTGGTGGAAGAAGTTCCTATACTGGGAGTAGCATCCTCCTGAGTTCTCTCTCCTTCCTGGTTTTGGTGATGCTGCTCTCTCCTTGTTCTTTTCCTACCTGTCTCACCCCATCCTCTTAAGTCTCCTTTGCTTAATCATAGCCTATTTCTCATTCCCGTTATTGTCAAGTCATTTCAGTCTTGTCCAACTCTTTGTGACTCCATCTGGGATTTTCATTGCAAGGATACTGGAGTGGTCAGAAAGACTTGAGTTCCAATCTGGCCTCAGACACTTACAAGCTGTGTGACCCTGCAACACCAAGACACCTGATTTTTCTTTTTTTTGGCCTCAGTTTCCTCAACTATGAAATGGGATATAATAACAGCACCCACCTTGCAGGTTTGTTGTGAGGATCAAGTCAGATAACATTTGTAAAAAAGTACTTAGCACGGTGCCTGGCACAAAGTAGACACTATATAAATGCTTATTCCCTTCCTCTCATCAGTTTGGTTATCATTTCTATGCAGATGGCTCCCAAACCCAAACATTCATCTTTCCAATTAGACAAATAGACATCTTCACCTGGGTGCTCCATAGTCATCTCAAGCTTAACATATCCATTGTCTTTCCCTCCAAAGTCACCTCTTTTTTCTAATTTCCCTTTTTCTTTTGAGCACTACATCTTCTCGTGATCATTCCTAATCTTAGAATCAACCTTTCTGTCTCCCTATATGCCCTCTGTTAAGACATCCTTTCAATTCTATCTCCTCAGCATCATTTACATCCATTCCTTTCTCTCCCTCTCTATTACTCTATTCTCTCCCCTCTCCAATCTAGCCTTCACTGGCTTACCAAACCTGGCTATGTCATTCCCTTTCTCAAAGAACTTCAGTGCCTGCTTATTGCCTTTAGGATCCAATACAGACTCCTTTTTGAGATTTTTAAAGCCCTTTTTAATCTGGCTTCAACTTATTTTTCTTCACTGATATTCTCTTCCTCTCACATGTTCACATTCCAGCCACACTGGCCTGTGCTGTTCCTCTCACTAGAAGACATTCTATCTCCTTTCTCCAGGCTGTTGCATAGGCTGTCATCCTCAAGCAGAGAATGCTTTCACTACTCACTTTCACCCCCTGAAATCCTGAGCTCAGTTTAAGTGAGACCTATCTCATGGCAATCTAGATCTTACCATTTTTAGTGCTTTTTCCTTCCAATTATTTGGCATTTTTTAATGTTTTGTATTTACTTCGATTAATTAATAAAACAATAAACATTAAGTGCCTACTATGTGCCAGACACTGGTGATACATATGTAAAAAAATGAAACAATCCCTGATGTCAAGAAGTTTACCTTCTATCAGTGGAAGCAATACAATAGATACAAACACACACATATAACATATAATATATGAATGTAGGCATAGTAAATAAAAACTAGTTAGGGAACAAACTAGCAGTTGTATATGGGGGTAGGGAATCAAGAAATGCTTGCTGTAGAAGGAAGGAAGGGAAATGAGCATTTATTAAGGGCCTATGGTGTGCCAGTCATTTAGCTAAGTGCTTTAAAAATGTTACCTCATTTAATTCTCAACAAGGTAGGTGTTATTATTATCCTCATTTTATAGTTGAGGAAACTGAGGCAGATAGATGTCAAGTGATTTGCCCAGGGTAAGACAGCTAGTGTCTGAAGTGGGATTTGAATTCAGGTCTTCCTGACTCCAGGGCGGAGTGCTTTATCCACTATGCCACTCAGTTATGTCTTTAAAAAAATTGAGGTATTCTGTTAGGTGAAAGAGAGGAGAGAGTGCATATGTGGACTGCAGCTATCTGTTGTTTCCCTCCAGTAGAATGCATGGTTTTTGAAGACAGGAATTCTTTTGGTTTTGTCTTTTATCCCTAACACCTAGCATAATTCTGGCATGTAGCAGGCACTTAATAAATGTTCTTTCATTTGAGTTCCCTACACCAATGAAATCATAGGCCAGAAAAATCAAAACAAAGCCCATTACTTTCCCAAACTTAGACAAGTAAAGTATGAGCATTAGCTTAGTGAATATAAAATTATTAAAGACAGAGCTGGGACTGTCTAGTTACCAACATATTATAGTGCTGATCAATTCTTCTGTAGTACAAGGTTATAAAAGAACATCATATTAAGTGGGTACTAAGTTTTCTATTCATGCTTTAGTTACTATATCACTCACCAAAAATATAGAGATTAATGTCAAAAGGCCTAGGATTTATAAGTCATCAACTTCAGAGATCTATGTGTATTTATTTAATAGCATTAAGCAACATTCAACCTTGGAAGTAAAACTTATCAGTTCCACTAAGGGTTATTAAATACTTATGGTAAGCAGGGTGTGCACATAAATAGTGCTTAGTGAATTAAATTTAAGATACCGTATATGTTTTAGAATGATAATGCTCAGTATTTTAATAATCATAATTATCTGGAACCCTCAAATAAAAAATAGTGTCACTTTATCACCTTTCTATAGCAATTTATAGAGGCATCTTAGTGGATAGAGCTCTGGGGCTGAAGTCAGGAAGACCTGAGTTCAAATCTGACCTCAGATACTTACTGGCTTTGTGACCCTGGACATGTCACTTGACTTCTGTTTGTCTTAATATGATGGAGAAGGAAATGGCAAACCACTGCAGTATCTTTGCCAAGAAATCCCCTTCGACAGTATGCTCCATGGGGTTATTAAGAGTTGGACATGACTGAACAACAACAAATAGCAATTTGGTTTACAAATATAGCAAATATAGTTTACAAATAGCAATATGGTTTACAAATTGTTTGCTTCCTAACTCTTATGGGGCAAGTAATATAAGCCTTACTATTCCTATTTATGGATGAAAAAACTGAGATGCAGAGAAATTGAATAACTTGGGGCAAGTAGATATTGAAGTAAATAGAGCACTGGGCCTAGAGTTAGGAAGACCTGAGTTCTAATCTAGACTCAGACTCCGTGTGAGTTAGCTATGTGATCCTGGACAAGTCATTTAACCGCTATCTGGCTCAGTTTCTTCAACTGTAAAATGGGGATAATAATAGCACTCGCCTCGTAGAGTTACTGTATGAATCAAATGAGATATTTGCTAAGCTGTTGGCACATAGTAGAGACTACACAAATGCTTATTTTCTTTCCCTTCCTCAAGATCACCCAGTGGAGAAGTGTCAGAGTTGGGACTCTAGCCCAAGCCTCTTAATTGAAATAACAATGTAATACCAATTACACCATGCTGGCACCCCCACCTAATAATGAAATTCTTTAAACTAAATGCATTTGAATGGCTTTCAAGGGAGATTCATCTTATATTAAATTGTATTCTATAGTTTATTTCTGTGACATCAACATTCTGTATTAATCACAATTAAACAACAAGTATTTATTACCACCTACTACATTTCCAGTGCTATGCTATTCACTGGAAATGCAAAGATGAGTGAAACAGCATCTGTCCTCAAAGAGCTTACATTATGTCAGGGAAACAATGTGTCAATATGAAAAAGTATATATGCCAAATACAAGGTAATTTCAGTGCTTTTTTAGAAGATGGTACTTGAACTGAACTTTGTCTTTCTGTGGCAAGGCAATTGGGATTAAGTGACTTGCCCAGCGTCACACAGGCTAGTAAGTGTTATGTGTCTGAGGTCAGATTTGAACTCAGGTCCTCCTGACTCCAGGGCCAGTACTCTATTCACTGTGCCACCTAGCTGCCCTCTTAAACTGAACTTTGAAGGAAGCGAGGCATTCTAAGAAGTGGAGTGAAAGAGGGAGTTAGCTTGTAGGCATGGGAACAAAGACGGCAGATAGAGTGGGGTGTGAGAGGAACAACAAGAAAGCCATTTTTACTGGACCACAGAGTACGTGAAGGAGAGCAGTGAGGTTAGAAAGGAAGGTTGGAGACCAGTTGTAATGGGTTTTAAATGCCAAACTGAGTAGTTTGATCTTAGAAGTGATAGGAAGTTTAGTGACAAGGGTTTTGTTTTTGTTTTTGCTTTGTTTTGTTTTTCTTTTCTAATTGGGGGCATGGTGGGAGGGAGAGAAAATTATTTTTAATTAAAAAATAAAATTTAATTACAAAAGAAGTGCTAGGAAGTACAGAGTAGTGACACGGTCAGATCAATACTTTAACACTATCACTTTCGCAGCTGTGTGGAGAATGACTTAGAGAGGGTAGAGATCTCATGTGGTCATAGAATCATTTAGGTTCTAATCAGGGTAACAATATGCTAATATAAAACTATATATGAAATATACACAAAACAAGGAAATTTATGGGCTTTCTTTTGTGGCAGCTAAGGAAAGCTTTCATTTAGAAGTTGGTATGTGAACCAGATTCAGAGCTGGAAAGAATCTTAAAGACCTCATTTTATAAACAAGGAAATGAAGGTCCAGGATGAGTTTGGTGGCACATACCTATAATCCCTGCTATTGTGGAAGCAGAAGCTGGTAGATCTTTTGATTTTTGGGAATTTTGAGCCACTGAAAAAAGGGAAGAAGGGAGGGAAAGAAGGGGAGGAAAGGTAGGGGAAAAGAGAGAAAGAAATCATATGATCAGTAAAGAGACTATTTTAATAGTGCAAGTGAGAGGTAATGAGGATCTGAACTAGAATAGTGGCTGTATGAATAGAGTGAAGGGGACAGATGCAAAAGACACCATGAATGTAGAATCAATGAGTTTTGACTATGGATTGGACATACAGGTTGAAGGAGAACAAGAAGTTGAGGATACCTTGAAGATAGGAATCTTAGGCAACTACACACTTGATTTGAGGTAGTGGAAAATATATGTGAATGAGAATGATTTGTCCATTTAACATTTTAAAAAAACTATTTAAATACAGAGATTAAGATGTTGTCCTTGACCTCATGAAGTTTAAAGTCTAGAAGGGATGATAAAATTTATTACACATAGTGGTGTGCTGGTAAATGTTTACCAACTAGCTCTCTGAAAAAAATAAAAAAGGTATAAAGGACCTAATTTTAAGTTTCATCTGAATTTTCAGCATTTTTTTCCATTACTTTCTTAAGTCTAGACAATCAAAAAAACAGTAAACCAAGGCCTGATATATAGTATTTGCCATTTTCATAGTTGTAAATGTTTATATGGAACTGGTTAGAGCTAGCTCCAGCACACCACTGGTTCCACCAAAAAACAAACAAAACAAACCCAAAACAGCAACAGCAACAACAAAAACAACCTCCCCCCACTTCAAACATAAATTAGAATATAAGTACATTCAAACTGGAGAAAGGAAGGTGGGTCATAGGACAAACTTTGTCTAGGATCATAGTCATAGCATCAGGCCTAAATGTCATTGAAAATAACTTCGCTGCTAATTAGGCACTTTTCTACCACTTCGTGAAGAGGTGACCAGGCCATGCTCCCTTCACTCCCAATGCCATTGCTCATTCTCTTGACTTCTTAATCTCTTCATCAGCAGTCTTGCCCCTGCATCTGCACCCTTCACCCTTGCCCCTTTTCCGGGTCTCCTTTATTTGTGTATTGTCTCTTCCCATTAGAATGTTAGTTTCCTGAAGACAGGAACTATCCTTTTTGCTTCAATCTGCATCCTCAGAATTCAGCAAAGTGCTTGGCAAGTACTAAGCACTTAATAAATATTCTCTCTCTCTCTCTCTTGCTGATGTCTGTTCTAACTCATTTTAAATGAATGTCTTGGTGCTAACTCAAGTTCCAGTTAGCTATGTACCATGCTCTATGGAGAATAAAGGATAAGACATCTCATTAACAAGGCTAAAAGTCTTATTTCTTACCTATCTTATAGGTCCTTTCTGGAGATTCTGAAACCAAACCTTTGATCTTCACATTTGTCCCAACCATACGAAGACTACCGACTCATACTCAGGTTGCTGATGCCTCTAAATATCTTGTTAAAATTGGTGAAGAACCAAGAGATAAGAGCCAAGAAACAGTAAATAGGGTAGGCTATTTTTATATTTTCCTTTTACTCACAAAATTTGCATTAAAATGAATTCAGTTGTAAAAAGTGTTTTAAATAACCATCTCTCCCCCTTTCACTTTTTTTTTCCTTAAAGGTTATGAGTTCTAGGGCCATCAGTGACACTTATATTATGTGTAAGAGCCCATGTATTTCAAGATTTTCTATTATAATCAAGGGATTCTCATTTGTGATATCCCATCATTTGTTGTGACTCCTTGTCATGGTTCTTATCTCCTCCTTACTCTCAGTCCTCAAATTTTTTTTATCCTGTATAATTTTTTTTGTAAAAAAAATTAAAATGAATTTAATTATTTTGTTTAAAAAAATCATTTTGAGATTTTGACCATAGGTGTCATAGATTAAAAGCTAGAAAAGGCTCTGGAGGTCATTTAGTCTAATGCCCAAAGAGGTTATTTGACTTGATCAAGGTCAATATGAATTCATATTGTCTGCCTCCATATCAAACACTAGGCAGCTAAGTGGTACAGTGCATTGGTGAAATCACTTAACTATTGCCTGCATCAGTTTCCCAATTGTTAAATGAGGGGGAAAATAGCACCTACCTCTCAGGGTAGTTGTAAGAATCAAATGAATTAATATTTGTAAAGTACTTGGCACAGTGTCTGGCATAGAGTAGGTTCTATATAGATGGTAGCCGTTATTTTCCACTGAACCACACATACTTTATAAGGCCTTCAGTCTTATAAAGATAGCCCTTAAAATTATTGGAGAGAGGGAGAAAATCTGATTTCTGTCTTTGATATATTATCTCCTTTATATCCTTACCACATAGTAGGCACTTAGTAAATGGTCATTTGTTCATTGATTTCTAGACCATAGTGACATATTGATTTATGGTCATTGAATCATCTATGATTATAGATTATCTTGAACAGTGGATAAGGTGCCTGCTCTGGAGTCAGTAAGACCTGAGTTCAAATCCAGCATCAGATATTTAGTAGGTGTATGACCTTGGGCAAGTCACTTAACCCTGTTTACCTTAGTTTTCTCATCTGTAAAAATGATCTGTAGAAGGAAATGTAAACCACAGATGGGATCATGAAGAGTCAGACATGATTAATCAACTAAATAACAACAACAGAGTAGATTATCTTAAAGAGTAATCAGAGCTAAATGATTTCTGGGAACCCCTGAATAATATGCAAGGCAACCCAGCTGCTTAGATGAGATCCTCACACTTTTAATGTTATTTGACAAAGATTGTATATATACCCTTAGCATTTTTTTATATTGCTACAAATAATATTTTTCTATGTGTCAGTATATATCTATGTTATATAGTAAAACTTTCTTGCAAGACTTTAAAACTCAGTAGTTTCCTATGACATTTGCAGCAAATTTCATAAACTGAAAACATGATATACACAAATAATTTTTTTAGTTGGTTAATGCAGTGTGGTTTAGTGAATAGACTTTGAGTCAGGAAACTTGGGTTCATATCCTCCCTCCAACGCTTTGCTCCGTGTGCTATTTCATCACTGAATCTCTCAGTTTCCTTTCTTAAAATAGGGATGATACTTGAAATAGTTACCTTAGTATTGTGAGGAAAGCACTTTGCAAGTCTTTAAAAATTTTTTTAAGTTTATTTTTTAGTTTTAAACTTAAATAGTAAAACAAATACACAGGAAAAGCAAAAGCAATATTCTAAATTTAAATATTGAAACAAATACAAACTAAGAAAAGAAAAAAAAGCATTGTCATGTGCATAGCAGAGCATGAGAGAATTCAAAATATACAGCAATAAAGTTCCATTTCAAGAAAGCCTATATAATAAATAGTACACATTTTGATCAGAGCTGTCCATCTTTTCTTTGCTTCCTTGTAAGTTTTCTTTTGTTCTCTGCTGTGCGCTTTTTACTTTGTTCTTTTTCTCCCCTTTCCCCCCACCCCTGAAGAAGGCTACAATTAAGCTACAATATATACATACATCCACATACAGACATATATAGATACATACAAACATATATATACACAAAAAGAGATACATACATACTGTGGATCCCAAACCCCATGAACCCCATAAACCCCAATTTGAAAGACTCTGCTCTAAGAAAGAGACACACAAAATTGGGGTACATGTGTCCACGGTTTAATTTCTCAAGGTGGCTTGACATGCATTGCATGGGAGTTCAGTCCAAAACTGGCTTGGTTTGGGATTTGGGGATATAGCATTATATTCCCTTCGAAGGGTAAATGTTCCCTAGAGGGTGCCAATCAACCATGATTGGTCAATATAGTAGGAGGGTGAGTGAGTTCCTTAGATCACTCAGTCCACAGGGGCCGATAGCATTTGCCATCAAAGGAACTACCACCCCCAGTCTTGGAAGTATATCTCCACCCATATCTGAGTAGGATAAAATCATTTCAGGCCTGTGTTGGAGTTTGACCAAGATAAGAAGATTAAATGTAATCTCATTATCAGAGATATCCTTCTGAATAATTTTGGTCAGAAGGCTGACAGGGAAGAAGCTCTGAGTCTCCAAGACACAGATTACCAAGAGAAATCATTTTTAAAAATACATACATACATATATACCTACATGCATACATTTTCATACACATAGATATACTTAGATGTGTATAATTATACTTATACATAGACATATACATTCATATGCATCTATGTAAGACCATACTATATTTATTTGTCCTCTGTTTCTCTGAGAGTGGATAACCTCTTCCTTCATAAGTCTGAGTTTTTCTACATTTCTCTAAGTCTACCACCCCATTATTTCCTTTACCACAGTAATATTCCAATCTTACACTGTCTAGTTATTTTAGATAGTCCAAAATGACATTGATGAATATGGCTGATACTTAGTGCAGTTTCCCTATTTCTCTCTTTTGATTAAATCTATTTTAGCCTTCACTTTGTCTGAGATCATGATTACCACCACTGCACTTTTTCCCCTAAGAAATTCTACTCCTGATCTTTGTTTCATGTATTATGTATCTCTTATTTCCTATCCCTCCTGACTCCTCTACTTTACCTCTACCCACTGCCTTGCCTTCCTATTCCTTAACCTACTCCCTCTCCAAGGATTCCTCCCTTGTCCTCCCATATAGCCTTCATCCTTCACCCTTCCCATTTTGCAAATCCTTAAGGGGCTATGCAGTGGAGATTTATCATTTTGATTATTCTGTTTTATAAATATTCCAGAATTAACAGGGAAAGGGCAAATAAGATGTCACAAAAACCCCACTATTATGAATGTCTTTCTTATTTTGTTTCTTTCTATAATAAATAGCCTCTTTATTACATTTTATCTCCAGGTAACCAGCTCAGTTCAGGCCATAGACTGATTCTAAGTGGCCCACTGATATTAGGAGCTGTTTGGTTTTATACTGATGTAGACAAAGGGATGTTTTAATTTAGGGAAAGCATACTTTAGACACTTTTAAATATATTAATCATAAATAGGTCAGGTAAAGTTAAATGCAGGCCTCAGGTCAATTCATTTGGGTTTACAAGCTACATCCATATGTATTCATTGGTTACTTTAAACGTCTCTATCTAAATGCCTGTTTCCCTAATCCCCTCCCCCAACCCTTTCCACTTTGTGTACAAAAGTCTATCCGCCTGCTTTGAATCAACTATTAAATTTCATCTCATATCTTCAAAAGCAGAAAAGTTTAAAATTCACTCAATCAATTGATTGTTTTAATTGTTTTATTTACTTGAAGAATAATTCAAGAATAATTCTATCTTCCTGCCCCTTCTCCCTTCCCCAAGATTGAATTGGCCAAATCAGCTGGATTTGTTGTCATATAGATCAGATGTGTCAAATATGCATCAGGTTAATAACACTCCCCAGTGCCAGATAAGACTGTAATTGGGAAATATTTTAAAAAATAAATAGAAATACAATAGAACATCAATAATGTTAATATGTGATTTTCTAAGTCAACATGTGGCCTAAAGGAATCCTCATGTATTTTTTGATGATCCCAGTTTCTATTTGAGTTTGACACCACTGACATAACCAAACCATACTTTGACATAAAATATAGCTTTAATTTCAGATGTAAAGTGACTTTAGGAGACAAAGAGCAACCGATAAAGCTGCTACAATTTCTGCTTAATCAAAAAGAATAGAACAGATTAATGACTTGAAATCATACCTTAGAGTATGATTGGATATAAAAAACAATTGAGTTTTGTTCTAAAATGTCCACTTTTTACCATGATCTCAGAGTAGTTCATAATGTCTGTGGTTTCCAGCTAGATATTCATGAGTTGTGATCTAGATTATTAGAGATCTTGAAGTTTTGGGGGACCCAGTAATTTCTTTCCTAACTCTTGTTTTATTGGAAATTTCATTCAACCAATATTTATTATGTGGTTGGCATTGGAATACAAAAATAAAAGATGACACAGTCCCTGCCATTTCATTATTTTAGAGGCAGCTAGGTGGCCCAGTGGATAGAGCTCTGGACTTGGGAGTCAGGAAGACATTGGTTCAAATTCAGCCTCAGTCATTTACTAGCTGTGTGACCTTGGGCAAGTCATTTACCTGTTGTCAACCTCAGTTTCCTTACTGTAAAATGGGGATAATAATAGTACCTACCTTTCAGAATTGTGAATATAAAATAAGATAATATCTGTAAAGTGCTTAATACAGTGCCTGGCACACAGTAGTTGCTAACTAAATGCTAGTTATTATTATTATTACTATATCATGTCATTATTTAGCATTAAAAATATTTAGAGGCTCATGTGTCATGAGTCAAATGGCTGGGTGGGACAAATGATGTGCTTAGGAATAAAATAAATATCTTTCACTTTAGGATATTCCCAGATTAGTCTAGAGATGGTTGCTCCCTTGGAATTTGCTTTTGACCTATTTGTCAGTGTAAATAACTATACTTCAAAACATTTATGGAACACTTCTTACACTTTTTGGGCTCAGGAGTCCCTTACACTCTTAGAAACTTTTGAGGACTCTGAAGAGCTTTTATTTATGTGGGTCATATTTCTCGATATTTACTGTATTAGAAATGAAAAGTACTAAAATTTTAACATATTTATTAATAATTTAAAATTACAAAAATTCATTACAGATTACTATAAATAACTTATTTTACAAAATAATTATATTTTCCAAAACAAAAAAATAGAAAAGAATGACATTGTTTTGTATATTTTTTTAAAATCTCTCCAAAGTCTAGCTAAGTAGAAAATACCTATATTCTCATTTTTGCTCATTGTTCTAAGTCATCATCATAATTCTTCTTCTTCTTTTTTTTTTGGTGAGGCAATCAGGGTTAAGTGACTTGCCCAGGGTCACATAGCTAGTAAATTTTAAGTGTCTGAGGATGGATTTGAACTCAGGTCCTCCTGACTCCAAGGCCAGAGTTCTATCCACCATGCCATCTAGCTGCCCCCATCACCATAATTCTCATTGTAATATCTTGTTTTGGTGCAAATAAGTGAATAAAATTAAACCTCATGCAGATTTATGGCTGGAAAAGGAACGTGTATTTTAGTTGCAAATAAGGTCTTAGTATTATTTTGAAATATAAATAAATATATTTATAGAAGCATAACTATATAAAAGAAGCATCTAGGTGAGTAGTGGATATAGAGGTCTGGAGCCAGGAAGACTCAGCTGCCTGAGTTCAAATCTGGCCTCAGACATTTACTAGCTATGTGACCCTGGGCAAGTCACTTTACCCTGTTTACTTCAGTTTCCTTATCAGTACAATGAGCTAGAGAAGGAAATGACAAACTACTTCAGAATATTTGCCAAGAAAACCCCAAATAGGATCTTGAAGAGTAGTACAGAACTAAAAACAACTAACAAAAAATTATTTTGAAAATAGTTTTGACTTTAAGGACCCACTTGAAAGAGTCTTGAGGACCCCCAAGAGTCCATGAGCAACACTTTGAAAACTACTGCTTTAGTGGAACATAAATCCATTCCATGACTTCATTCCATGTTGCTCCCCTGCTTGATAGACTGCTGTGGCTCTCTATTACCTCTTGGATCAAATATAAACTTTTTTTTTGTCATTTAAAGACTCTTATAACCTGGTCCCAATTTATCTTTTCAAGTTTATTACGTATTATTTCCATTCATGTACTTTATTGCTCTGTTACACTGGCCCTTTTGATGGTACTCACATTGGACTTTCCACCTATTACATGGGTAGTCCTTTATGCCTGGAATGGACTCCTTCTCCATTTCTGTCTCTCAGAATCCTTGGTTTCTTTCCAAGCTCAGTAAAAATACCATCTCTTCCCTAAAGCCTATCTTGTCCTCCCAAGATGCTAGTACCCTCTCCAGTATTTATTTGCATATATTTTATATATATATATATATTGGTGTGTACATAGTTGGTTTTAAGTTAGTACTTCAATTATTAATGTTGGTAATCCCTATAGTGCTACAGTTGAGAAACCATTCACATCTTTTTATTTTGTATGACTTGTTTATGTTTCCCATAGTTTTTAACTGCTAGTTTCTAGTGCTTTCTCTCCCTTGAATACAAAATATCTTGTATTTGATGATGTTTTGTGTGTATTGTATAGATGCAAAGCATCTTTCATATATATATAAATATAAAATATACACACATATATACACACACACACATATATATAAAACATATGTATGTGTGTTTGTATGTGTATGCACATATTGTCTCCTATATAATATAAGCTCATGGTGTGTGGGTTCTATTTCAGTTTTTGTCTTAATGCCCCCAGTGCCTAATAAATTGCCTCACACATAGAAGGCACTTGATAAATAGTTGTTGAATTTTTTAATGATGGTAAGTGCATGACAGAGAATATTTACCTATTTAAACTAAATATGTTTATGTTTCCTGCAGTCTAATTCAAATGAATTCTCGGACCACCTGATTTCAAAAAGTGGGATCCGACAGGAAAGTGATACCCGGACGTTCGTGGGCTCTCCAGAAACCAGCCAAAAGGTTTTCCAAGGAAGAGGCCTTAAATCGAATCAACCAGAAACAATGCAGCAGAGTGACCTTTTCAAAGCAGAATATGTCTTTATTGTGGACTCTGAAGGCGAAGAAGAAGCCATATGCAGAAAGGAGGACAAACAGCCCCTGGTGGGGAATGGTCAAAGGTTGGCAAGACCCAAGTCCCTAGCCATAGCCCCAGGGCCTGTCAGTGCACTACAAAAACCGCATCATGGTGACTTCCAAGTTCCAGGACAACCTGAGCTTCCTCACAATGCGGCCAATCAACAAAAGCAAGCCCAGGTATGGCTGCCTTCGCTGCTTTAGTGCTGGTCTGTGGCTGGTCCTTCTTGAGGTACTACATAAAGAATATTATACAGGCTGGGTTCTGCATCTCAAAGGATTTCCAGGCCAAGACAATCAACAGTGCCATGAAAGACAGTGATATCATAGGCAGCATTCAGAAAATAAATAGTTCAGTTCAAAAGACCTATGATAAAAGTTATCTAGTCCAATCTTGTCATTGAAGCAGCTAGTGTATAGAGTTCAGGATGAAAAAGTCCTAAGTTCAAATCTTGCTTCAGACACTTACTAGCTGTGTGACCCTGGGTAAGTTCCTTCTTTCCTAGCTTATTTCCTCATGTGTAAAATGAGGATGACATAACAAAGATGTTACTGGAGGGCTGTGAGGATAAAATGGGGTAATATATGTAAAGCACTTTTTACAACCCTTTAAACTTTAAACACGTACAGGTGAGAAAACTGAGATTAAGAGATTTACTTGCCCAAAGTCATGCAGGTAGCAAAGGGAAGAGCTGGGACTTGAACCCAGGTTATCTGACATTCTTTCTGCTACATTGCTACTTATCCAGGTCAAAACTCTACATGAAGAGGAACAGATTTTATCAATGAATTACCCTCTTCCCCAATACATAGGAGCATAGCTTTAGAGCTGGAAGGGATGATAGAGATAATTAGGTCCGATTCAGGTCCAGAGAGATTAACCTACTTAGGACCACAAGGACAGAATTTGAGCTCACGTAGTCTAACTCCAAATCTAGTACTCTTTCCCAGGCACCATGTTGCTCCCCTGGTAGCCATTCTTTTCATGACAACCAACTCAAATTGAACTAGACTGGTTCCCATTGTATGGGACGTCCCTCTTGTGGCCACTATTTCTGGTTTGGTAGGAGCTTCCAGAAACCCCATTGTACTGGAATGTCCTTTAATGATCCTGCATCATGTCTTAACCATGATGAGGTATCAGAGTAGAGATTCCATTGGTGATTCTAATGATTATATCCTATTAAATAGTCAAGGTAACAAAAGTAAGATGAAGTATTCACATAATGAACAGATTGATGATTGAATGTGTTTTGTCAGGATGGCAAGTGGAGTCTATTAAGAAAAATGACTGGTATAAGAGTATAGAATCAATATGTATAGATTGAATGGGAAATAAATTCAAATTAAATTCAAGGTGGTTTGAGAGGGAAACCATTAGCAGGTGGGGGAAATTGGGATAGGCTTTGTGGTGTTTGAGCTGCATCTTGAAAGAGAACGATTCCATGAAATGGAGATGTGGAAGGAAGTGCATTCCAGGTGTGGGGAATGGTCAACAAACACCAACACATGAAAAATGATATAGAGTGTGTATGAGAGATAGAGAGGTGGCCAGTTTGTCTGGATGGTAGTATGCAGGAAAAGGAGTAGTATATAATGAAGTTGGATAGACAGACAGGGGACTGGTTGTGAAGGGTTTTAAAAGCAGATAACAGAGTTGATATTTGATCTAAGAGACAATTGAAGCCACTAGACTTTATTGAATAAGGGGGATGATTTGATAAGATTTCTGCTTGAGGAAGACCATTTCCAGAGATGTGTGCAGTATAGATTGGAGTGGGAATAGACTTAATGTAGTTTGAACAATTGTGATGTTCTTGAATTAGTCTCAGGAAGAGGTGATAAGGAATTATGGTTTTGTGAGTATATATGGGGATGTACATGAAATATGTTCATGAAACAGAAACTAGAATATTTGGCAAGGGATCAGCTATTAGGATGAAGGAAAGTGAGGAATCAAGGATAATGATAAAACGTGGAAACGATGATAACAATAAAAACAGGAGAAGCTGAAAGAATGGCGGTATTTTCAACAGAAATAGGTATGTTTGGCAGAGAAGTACATTTGTAGAGAAAGATAATGAATTCTGTTTTGAACATGTTGAATTTGAGATATTTCTGGAGCATTTGGTTTCAAGTATCTAATAGACAGTTTGTGATGTAGGCCTGAAGCTCAAGAGGACTGGGTTGGATATACAGATCTTTGAACGTGTGTAGAGATGATCATTAACCCTGGGAGAGCTGGTGAGGTCACTAAGAGACAGGGTAGACAGAAAAGAAAAGAGGGTCCAGGACTGAGCTTGTGGGGAACATAGACAGTGAAAAGGCATGATATATGTGACATGCCAGCAAAGGAGACTGGGAAAGACTAAGACAGGTAGGAGGAGAACCAGAAAAAAGTAGTTTTACAGGAAAAGAAGGATGGTCTTCAGTATCAAATTCAGAAGATGATTCAAGAAGGATGAAGATTGAGAAAAGACCATCAGATTTAGCAATTAAGAGATCATTGGTACCTTTGGAGAGAAAAGTTTCAGTTTAGTGATGAGGTCAAGGATAAACTATCAAGGGCTGAAAAGTGAGTGTGGAGGAGGGTTGTAAAAATGGAGGCAATGAGTGTAGACAGCTTTTTTTTTTTTTAGGAGTTTAGCTCTGAAAGGTGGAGAGATACAGTATAATAGATTAAGAGGCATATTAGGTTCTAGTGAACTGATGTGTGTGTGTGTGTGTGTGTGTGTGTGTGTGTGTGTGTGTGTGTGCGCATGTGTATTTAAGGATTGGAGAAACTTAAGGACATGCTTGAAGGAACCAACCAGTGGCTAGAATAAGGAGAGGGTGAATATTAGAAAGAGATAAAGGGAAAGATTACAAGAAGGATCATAGAATTTAGAGATTAAAGTGATGTATCTCAGAGATCAATTAATCCATCATCTTAATTTCAATATGTAAAAACTGGAACTCAGTGCATGAAAGTGCCTTGCTCAGCCCATACTAGGTAGTAAGTGAAAAAGCCAAGATTCTAACCTAGGCTCTCTGACTCAAAATCCATTGTCCTTTCCATTATACCATGATATAGGTTCGATGCAAGGAAAAACAGAATAATGATTAAAACTATTCAAAAGGAAAGGGGCTGCCTCAGGATATAATGAGGTTTTTTTTTTTTTTTTGGAAGAAATGGATGGATTGTTACTTGCTAGTTAGGATGTAGAGGTGATTGTTCTTTAATTATGGATTGCAGTAACTAAGTAATTTGGTGGGTAAGAGTGCTGAACTTAGAGTCAAGAAGATGAATTTAAATCCCATCTGAGACTCTTAATATTTGTGTGACCTTGGGCAAGGCACTTAATCTCTTAGCCTCAGTTTCCTCATCTGTGAAATGGGAATTACAATAGCACCTACCTCTCAGTGTTGTGAGGATCAAATGACATAACATATGTACACCATTTTGCAGACCTTAAAGTACTATGTGCATGCTGGCTTTTATCATTAGATCACTACTGGTGTCTTTTCCAACTCTGAGCTTTTCTGGAATGATGGAAATAGATGACAAGCAGATTTCCTGGATAGAGGGGAATATTTTGGAAATGAGACTCATAGTAGAAAAAAGTCATGGTAGGACACTGACAAAGATCATAACAAGATTTTGGTAGTTAGAAGAGAAGGGGAAGCTAGGTGGCACAGTGTATAGAGTGTTAGGCCTGGAGTCGGGAAGACTCATCTTCCTGAGTTAAAATCTGGCTTCAGATACATATTAGCTGTGTGACCCTGGCAAGTCCTTTAACCTTGTTTGCCTCAATTTCTCATCTGTAAAATGTGTTAGAGAAGGAAATGACAGACCACTCTAGTATCTTTGCCAAGAAAACCCCAAAATGGGGTCAGAAACATTTGGATATGACTGAATAATGACTGAACAACAACAACAACCAGAAGTTAGAAGAGAAGGGGGGCAAGTTATGGATATGGACAGAACCTGGATGTGGCAAATAGTGACAAATTAAGAAGGACTTTGAAGTTTTTACTTAGGAGGTAGGTGTTAACAGAAGAATCACCATGGTGGGGAAGCTGGACCAGCAGAAGGTGATTGGAGGACAGCTCTGTTTTCCCCACAATGCATTTAAATGTTTATTGAGACATTCATTTTAAAGTGTTAGACAAGCATCATAGGCAAAGAAGCCAAGTACAATACAAAAATTACCATTGGGACTATAGGACACAATGGCCTTCTTTTCTGCAGTTGTCTTCACTACCCTGAAAGTGTAGTGGCATCATCTTGCTCTCGGGTCAGCTAACCTCATAAGTCATCATTAGAAATATGTAGCAGCCTATTGGCACTCACCATTCATTTCTCCATTGTCCTTTGGGTCAAAAGCAATTTTGTTTCCTTGGAAATAGTGATGCTTCAAGATTTTAAATCATTGGGAGAATATTTATGTTAAAAAGATGGTTCTTAGCACCAAGAAACAGCTTGTGTTCATCAAAAGCATTGTATAGATTCCCCAATGCAGTCCAGCTTGTGGTCTTCTTCCTAGTTAATTCTGGACCCAACTCAGTGGCCATCTTGCTGTGTTCACTCCAACTATGTGTCCTCATGTACAAATTCCAGGTCTTTTTTGAATATTCATAGATCAGTCTCACCCACATAATGTTCTGGGGCTTGATGTACTCAGCACATCAGATGCAAACAGGAGCATCTGAAAGACTTCACTATCAATGGGGAATCCTTCTTTTGGGACATTGCCCAAGATAGCCTTCACAACAATGGGGAATACCTTGCTAAGCATGTATCTTCTTCCTTTGAAACTCAGATGTTAATAATCAAAGGGTCATTGAACAAAGATATCTCTATGACCACTTTTATCAAGGAAACTTGTATAATCTTAATATATGCATGAGAGTCTCACTGGTGGAGGACCCTTGAATCTATAATTTGTTTTGAGTCTAATAATTAATAATTTACAATCAATAAATAAAAACACTGAACTGTCTCATTTTTGTATTTGTATTCTAAGAACCCAATATAATACCTGGCATATAGAAAGTGATATAGAATTAATTTTTTATTCAATTATACCATACCTTTCAGCCAATAGTGTGACTGTAAGGATGTAGTCTTTGGTACAGCATTATTTGTGGAAACTTGCCTTTTTCATAATTTCTTTTTAAAAAATTTATTTTGTTTTTAA